ATATATCATATGTGTAATTCACATTACATCCTATTTCATAAAAATTGTTAATTACTTCAAAATAAACAACATTAACTCACCCTCAATAGATCCCTTAATAACATATCAACCTTAATTGAAACTATTACATATACAATATATTAGTGATCTGCACGGGCCTAATTTTTTAGGCCCGACCCGGCCCGAAATTTTTTTTAAAAAATTTTTCCCGGCCCGGCCCGAACACGAATTTTTTTTAGAAACTTTTGCCGGCCCGGCCCGAACCCGAATTTTTTTTAATTCATCCTAAAGTAATAATTATATTTTTTTTAGCTTTTAGTTTATTTTTTATATTTAAGATTTTGTTTTTGCAAAAAATATCTTAGTAAACAGAATATTTATTTAGTATTTAATTATTTATTTAAAACACTATCAAAAATACCTATAAACCAAAAATAATTATAATGTTAAATTACACAACTATATATTAGATTCATATTTATAATTATCATTTAAAAATATCAAAGCATCAACATTTTCTGGTGACAGTCTATTTCTTCTTTCGTCTAATAACCTTCCAGTCTTTGAAAAAGTTCTCTCTGAAGTTGTGGACGTTGCAGGAATTGCTAGAATTTTTCTAGCCAATTTTGTCATCTTTGGTAATCTAATTTCATTTTTATTCCACCATTTTAATATATCTTTTTCTGGATCTATATTTTCATTATTCTCTTTTATGTTTAAATTCTTATAAATTTCAAGCTCATCTGTTTCTTTTTTTTCATATTCTTCGTCATTGTCCTCCCATCTTTCATATTCATTGCCTGATATATAAAAATAATATAAATAGAACAATTTTAAATGTACCTTTAGATCTTTTAGGCGATTCCACAATTTGAGAAACGCCTTGAATATCCAAATCTATAATATCAATTGAAGGACAATATTCTTCAGAATTAATTATATTTTTGACTGAATTCTCTACTTCTAATATTTCCATTGATGATAACATTCTTAATTTTCTATATTTGGGGCATAAAAATGTCGCTATTTTATGCAAAATATTGATTTTAAATTTAGATAATAAAAAATTTTTTAAATTGGTTTTTATTTCTTTTATTTCATTGTTTTGATAAAATGAATCATTTAAATCCTCGTGAAGAATATTATTAAAGCATAGCAGTACTTTATGTAAAGTAGGATTAATATCTCCTTCTAGTTCTTTAGTAGCTTTATCAAAAGGATATAAAATATCAATCAAATTTTTCAAAATAGATTTCTCCAAGTTTTCCATTTTATTAATATCTCCCTTGGATGATAAAAAATTGACGATGTCATCATATTGGTTATAAATAGATTTCAACATATTTAATTTTGAATTCCATCTAGTTTCGATATCTTGTTGTAATGTTTTGTCTAAATATTGATTCATGCCGGTTTGTTTAAAATACATGGTTAATTTTTTAGCAGAAATAAGGGTTTGATATATATTAGGAGCGATAATTTTCAAAGATTGTTCCTTAAAGGTATTTCGAAGAACAGTATTTAATAGATGTGCGCTGCAATTTAATCTGGTGTATTTTTCTAGGGCTTTAATTATATTAGCTCCTTGATCAGATATAAATATTATATTTTTCACTTGATCGGGAATTATTCCAATTGCAGCAAAATTTTGTAGCATTTCCTTATGTATGTTCGCGGCGGTTTTTTTCTCTTCTTTAAACTTATTCGTAAATAAAACATGTTTATATAAGGTTTCACCTTCGATATAATGAATTGAAACAGTTAAATAGGAAAACTTTTTAAAAGAATCTGTCCACATGTCTGTTGTAGCAGAGCATTTTTTATCAAATAATTGAACATTTATTTTATTAACCAAATTTGTTCTAATTTGATCCGTCATAACTATAGCATTTCTCGATAAAGTAGTTGGATGGGGAATAATTTCGCTACAGTCAATATTACCGTAAATGGAGCCAATTTGAATAAAATTTTGAGCCATTTTTATAAAGCCATCTCCAGTTATCGAATCAAAGGCACGCATGTCCTTGGCGCAATAATAGATCAAGGTATCACATAGTTTCTTTTTAATAGTTAAGGAAGAATTTAGATCTATTTTCTTTTGAATATACCTAGTTATTTTAGGAATAGAGGAATCGTCATTCTTAACGCACTTGTGACGTCTTAAATGAGAATTTCCAGATGTGCTTTTATATTGTAATATACTATTACATTTTTTACACTGGACGTAATCAAGTTTTTTGTTTTTATCATCAAATATGTCTTCAAAATTTTCCCATATATTGCTTTTACCTAAATGGGGCAAACAAATATATGTTCCATTTTGTATTTGTTTTTTTAAAAAAAATAAATTCATTTTAAAATTATATTTAAAATTTAAGTTTTATAAAAAAACATTTAAATTATTTTACCCATAATAAAATATATATGACATATGGCGTCTACTTTCTAAATAAATAAAATTAAATATTTATATTTTACAAATAAAAAATGTTGCCGCCTTGTTTCTTAAAAAAAAGTTTAATTATATATTTATACCAAGAATAAAAGATACATGCCATCATATGGCGTCTAGCTTCTTCAAATAAAATTAAATATTTTTATTTTACAAAAAATATTAGTGCCAATATTAAAAATATTTTAAGGCCCGGCCCGACCCGGCCCGAATTTTTTTAAAAAATATTAGGCCCGACCCAACCCGAACCCTAATTTTTTTTTAAAGTAGGCCCAAACCCGGCCCGAAGCCCGTTCGGGCCGGGCCGGGTTCGGGCCGGGTACGGGCCGGGCCTACTTTTGCAGATCTCTACAATATATTAACATTAATTAATAATAAATTATCCCACATGTCCATCCCTTTAAAAACCCAAAATGCATAATTATATAACACATACTTTATTACAACCATTTCTATATATATTTTCATAAATTTCAAATATTTAAATATTTAGCAATCCTTTCTGTCCTGCTGATCTTGAGGTTTTATCTTCCTATGACGGAATACCTATAACACCATTCAATGAGTCTTAAAGCGTACCAAATAATAAGACAATACTTATTGTCAAACATTGGATGTAAAATATACATTTAGACATATAATACCACAAATATTATTGTCTTAAATGGCCAAAATGAAGACATCTAATACCACGAATATTATTGTCTTAAATGGGCCAAAATGAATTAAATATCATTAACCAATAATTATTCATTTTATTTTAATTTTCAATCCTAATACACATTACATACTTTCTATCTTAAACCTTGTAAGCTAAATATCATATAAAATTATAGAAACCCTTAAACTCACCTCTTAATCTCACTTACCCCTGCATAGTTTTTAGTACTTGCGTTGTGTACCTAAATCCATATGTTGTCGATCCTGGTCACGGCACCACTTTTGAAAATATAATAAATAAATAAATAAAAGCCCTTTACTCTCAACCCTTTACTTTCAAAAATATAACTTAACAATCCTTTCTTAATAATTAAATAAATACCCACAGTAAACATTACCAAAGGACAAACACATTGTTTAATTTCATGTTATACCATATTTTATTTATGTTCACATCCAAATATTTATAAAGGTTTCATATTCATAAAAATAGTTGAATCTCCTCCATTCTTTGTTCTTCCCAGCTGGCATCTTCTCATCTCCCATTCTCCTTTCTCCCCCCAAGGAAAATTAATTCTTTCTGTCATAAAATGACCGACATTCAGTATATTATATTAAATTTATTTCTTCTTTTTTTTCAGCGGCTACAACATAAACAACACGCGATTTAATAAACATTAAAAAATAGAAATAAAAAAAAACGCTATAAAAATAATAATAATAAAAATTCACATTAAAAAATCAATTATCATTCTATCATTATGGACCATTTGATTTGATTCTTATTATAATTATTCTACTATAATTCATTAAATGATAATGATAACGAACAAAGAGATGAACAAAAAGACGTATGATGAGACGTTGAGATGATGATGATGAATAAGACAGAAACAAGAGAAACTGGAATAGCAAAGAATTACTCAGAGAGAGAGATGTTAAGATGTGTAAATAGTTACAGGCGATTAAATTTAATTTTCATGTTTAAATTTTTCTTATTTTAATGTTATTATTCAAATGTTTTCAATTACTTTAAAACTATATATACTTGTCTTTTTTTTATATACAGATACACATTTTTATTTTGATTGTAACTACCACCATTATGTATTTGTGAAGATTTATGTTAAAACTATATTTGTGACGATTTATATTAAAACTTTATTTCACATGTTGAAATCACAAATTACAATCAAAATAAAAATGTGTATCTGTATATAAAAAAAGACAAGTATATATAGTTTTAAAGTAATTGAAAACATTTGCATAATAACATTAAAAACATGAAAATTAAATTTAATCGCCTGTTACTATTTACACATCTTAACACCGGGCCTCTGAATTTCTTTGTATAATTCCAGACTGGCCCATAATAGTTTTTTAGTGAAAATATGAATTTATTATCCTAATTCTAAATTTCGAATCCCGAAATTCCTTAAAATTATTTTGCATAATTTCGCCGACTTTTTGTTTATATGTTATCAAATCAGGAGACAATAATTTTATTTAATAAATATTACTTTTCACTTGAAATAAAATTAACATTTGGAGTCTAATAATTATCTATCCGATAATAAAGAAAATATCAATAATTTACTAAAAAATGGTTTAATTATATTAATCTTTGTTTTTAATAAATAGCTTATAAATATCGCTGATTCTATCATTTTTATTATTACATATTAAAATAATTAGAATATTCCAGGGAAAATTTGGGAAATTCCAGCCATATCAAATTATTTATTATAAATATTCTTCAGGAATAAGTTATCAGATCAATTTTTTGTTCATTTAATATTATACCTTGAATTTGAATAGGGTATCTATTTTACTTATAAATAATTTATTACAAGTATGGTTCTAAATTTAAATTTAACTGATTGTAAAGGTAAGATACGACGATGAGTTCAATATGGTCATTACAGAACCTTTAGAGTTGACTCAGGAATACAGAAAATTTGATTTGAATACACCCTGGGAAGTATTTCCTACTTACAAGCAAGACCAAGAAAAGCAAGAAATAAAACGGCAATCTTCTGAGACTGACAAAGATCCTAAATGATTCCCATATCCAATTTTTTAAATATTTTTTTTGTATATTGTATGTAATTATTATATTATTAGAAGTAATTACTGCTTGTATATAATGGATTGTTATATTTCGCATTTATATTTATTTAAAATAAAATATAACACAACACATTGGACTAATTTTTTATGGATTGATTTAATTAGGGTATCTTAATCTTCTCTAACAAGTTGTTAAGTAATCCTAGTTTTTAATTGATAAATATATGTTAAGAGTTTAAAAATACGAATTAATTATACTAATGTTATAGGACCCCTTCCCCCACTAGAGTTGATAAAGTAGCGCGCTACTATAACATACTATTTTTTTAGTAGTGATAGCTAATAGTGCGCTATTTTTTCAAAGTATAATGAATATAACTATAAACACGAAAATTAAAATTTAATTTTATGATTCTAATTTTATTATTTAATTTGAAATTGAAATTTGTGTTATAAACTACCATCTCTAAATTATTTAAAATGGATTGAAATCGATGTAAGTGCGTCAGATATATTAACGAAAGGTGCACTGGAAGAAAATGAAATTCATGCTAAAAATAATATGGAATTTTCCTTTTCCAAAATTTGAAAAATATTTTTAAATTAATGGAAAAACAAACGAAGGCTAGTAATCTATCTGTTTAAAATTTAGGAAAAATTATCCTCAAATTAGGCAGGTATTTATTAACTCTTAACAATCCTAGATGGAATTCTATTTATAAAAGAGTATACAGATGTAATTCTAATGAATAATAATTAATTTTTAAATTATGCAATATGTGGCTGTTTCCCTTGAAATTTTGGAAGGTGAGGATAATATGAAGATGAGGTATTATGTTTCCACTTTGAGTATCATACATAATTAAAGAAATTAAATAATCTAAACTTGTGCCAGTCCCTATATAAAAGGCATTGAGAAAAGGTAGTTTTCTATATTCTGGAAATTTTATTTTTATGGCCATGCAATTTTAATTGATTCCGACTGAATAATTTATTCTAACTTTAAAGCTAAATGATTTATTGATTAAATGTTTTAATATTCTAATTTTTTTAACTAATTAGATTCCTCAACTTATATAACGATGATACTGTGTTAGCTACCATGATCCAAATTTTAAACTAAACTGGCCATATATCAATCATTGGGATCTAAATATCAGCATGATAGGTTTATGATAAAGCTAAATAATCTTATACTAAACAAAGATGCTACAACAGCCAAAATGACTTCTTCAGATAAATATTTTGAGATACTAATCTAATAGGAAATCCCTTAGATGTCTTTTTAAAGTCACAAAATACTGAGATACTATAGGAAATCCCTTAGATGTCTTTTTAAAGTCACAAAATACTCCAAAGATTTTTGATGATTACACTTAAATAATTATTTATAATATTAATACTCCATTACTCAAGTGCTAGTGTTGACCTATTATTTATTATACCTAATGATCGCCGGTCTAAATTTGGGGCTCATAATAAGAAATGATTTTAATTAATAAAAATTCGATCCATCTTGGTAGAGGAAGAGGATTTTGAATAATTGTGCTGGTTTCACTTTTATTTATTTTGTTACATTATTTTATTATTTATGCTCAATATTGTCTTTTTGTTATTTTGATTATTTTTTCTAATTCGTAATCGTTTACTAACGATTTAATTCATTATTATAATTATATTATTACTCTTTATTAAATATTTAATAACTAGAAAAACTTTTAATAAAGCTTGAAAAATTATTTTTTATTACATTAATTTTAGTCTTTTTATATAATTATTAATAACTAATTATATTTAAATATTTATAAATGTTAATTTTTATATATACAATTACATTATAACTAAAAAATAAAACAGATTTATGTATTCTTTTTTATTAAGTAACTTTTGAAAAATAGTAGTTAATTGCGTGCTATTTTGTTTTGATGGGCAGCGGTAGCGCGCTACTTTTAAGAGTAGGGTAGAACAACTCTTCCCCCGACTCCATATTTTTTAAATTCAAATTATTGTTTTTCATGGATATACATCAAAACATTATTTATATAAAATTACTAGAATTGTTAAACGCTACGATTTTGCCTTTTTTAAACTAAGATTTTGGCCAAAATAATATTACGCGAACCTCAAACGTTAATAGATGCCCAAACTTCTCTGCCATCTATGAGCAAAATCTCAAGGCTTGCGTAATATTTTTTGGCTATAATATTAGATTTGCCATTTTTAAAAATTAGCCATTGCAAGAAATACTAGACAATCAATGTATCTATCATCCACAGTGCTCTGAAAACCGCTCAACTACCTTAAACGCTAGAACCTCCTGGTCTCTTCAGATGAGATGGTAAATGTTTCCACAGGATTGCTCAAATACCATGGAAGAGGGAGAATATATAGGACTATTCTTATATAGATCTAATGGACCCCTCCTTCAAGCCCTAAACATGGACAAAAAGAAACAAAAAATCACTAAATATTCAGAAATTTCCGATTATCATATTTTCATACCAAATTGAACCTTTTTATTTAGTAATATAATTATGTTTTTCTTAATTTTTTATTATAATTATTATTATTTTGATTTATAAATGTTTTTAATATAACTTTTTTAGAAATACTAATTACCATAAAAAAAATAAATTTAAAAAAATCAAATCATGTCTACAACACTTACCACTTTTGGTAAACTCGCCCTATCATTCTTCAAAAATCTAGGCTTTATAATTTGGAAACTTACCGAAGAACCACAGGTTCCCGATAAGGCTCTCCATTGCAATTCAAAAAGCCAATTATAATATAATAACTACCAAAAGTTCCTATTAATTTTTTTCCCCTTTTTAGATAGTTATTTTTTTTTAAATGTATTATTTCTAGATTTTATAATATTATTTTTTAAAATACCTATTAGATATATATTTTTTGATTATATAAATAAATTTGATATAATATTGTGTAAATTTATGAAAAATAATAAAGGTGAATATTAATTATTTGGTTTGTAAGAAAAATATTTGGCGCCGTTTTCAAGTTAGAGTATTTATTTTAACTATTAAATTTTTATATATAGCTCGGCTTTTATTGTCTTCTCTACTTATTGAATTACAAGGTTAATTCTCGAAAAATGATCTGCCAAGGCTGTAGAAACAAGTTAAGTTAAAATATAAGGCATGCTGTGCTATAAAATAGAAACTCCCGAATAATCAATTATGATAGACTTAGCTACTAACGTCGTGCATATCACTTCTAGACTTCAACCATACCTTTTATGACCCCATTTTACACTATAAATTTAAATGAGTTCCTGGCAACACCATTGACACGCCGCCATATATCTGTCTCTTCAAATTTTCTCTTATTTCCAATCAGAGAAATTTTTATTTCATTTATCCTCACCTCTTGTCTTTCATGCCTGTTTTCCATTTCAGTATATATATATGTCGTTGGGATATGGAATTATGTGGGATTTGGAATCCCAACTTGGGGATTCGAGATCTTGAATTCCCACGTTTTATTTGGAATCTTTTTTTAAAAAATTATATTTTTTTAAATATTTAAAACTAATGGGGATTCGGAATATATTTATTTAAAACAATTAAATAATATTTTTTTCTTCCTTTTTTGCCGCCTGGCTGGCACCAGAAAATTTTATTTTTTAGAGATATTTTGTTATAATAAATAAATTATATAAATTATCAAAAAGGATTAGAGAATGTTTAAAAAAGTATAATATAAAATTAAGGCATATAATGAATGAAAAGGAATAAGGTTAAAAGACATTTTTTTATAAATTTATATAAAATCATAAATATTTCACATGAATATATATTTTTTTAAAAATCCGAATTAAAAAAAAAATTATTTATTGCAACAATATTCAATGCAATATGACATTTCGTTGAACATTTGATGTTGTTCTTGAAACACTCCACCTTTTATTCATGCCACCCATTTTGCAATTGCATAACGAGGTTTTCCCATATTTTGTGACATTCGGGGAAGCTCCTAAATATTTTTAGCAGTTTAGATATAAAATTAATATATTTTATGTACATGAATTAATTTGAGGAGTATGTGTGGTTACTATAAAAATAACTTAATTACCTATGATTGATATATCTTTGTTGGGAATTTCAACATCATTTAATTTTATAGTTTTATATAGACTAGAGGCAATAAATGGTGCTGAAATTCATCCAGCACACTCTACCCATATTTTATTTTGTCCAATTTTTAATACTTTCCCTTATAAATTTTTAGGACAGATATTTGTTTTATCTGTCCTATGGATGAGTAATGATGACCTAAAATAAAGTTATTTTGTATTGGATAATAAATTATGTTTTGACGCCCACGATCATTTAAATATGAAATAAAAGAAGGGGCCCTTTATAAAACAAGTACTAATTCCAATATTATTGGTAACACAACTATTTTTCCATATAATTTTAGGGCCAACATTTTTTGAACAAGGACTATTAGTAATATTATGGACAATTCGAAAGCGCGAATCTTTGATTGAAACCTTTGCTATTTTAGTAGCAATGTATATAGCTTTCACATAATTTTCCTTATTTGTAAACAATAAAAAAAGTGACGGAATCGTTAAAAATATTGTCTACATTTATTTCTGTATATTTTGAATAGATTTGTACTTGGGTGTTTTTAATATGGTTTTATAAAAATTATATTCTGTAACTGTTTTGGGTAAAAAATTTGAGGCATTAAAAAAAATTTATAACTAATATTAGAAATAAAATAATAGTATATAAATTTTCAAAATGTAATAATTTAGATATTCCATGGAAAAAATCCCACCCAATAAGATTCTTAAATCATATTAAAAATAAATTTTCATTTCAAAATGTAAAAATTTAGAAATTCTAAGAAAAAAAATATCGCCCAATACAATTACTAATTTATATTAAAATTAAATTTATTGATAATTCATATCAGTAATTTCAGAGACCTGCAGGTCCGGCATTAAACCCGGTCCGGGTATACACGGGTCATGTCGTATTTTAATTTTTTTAATATAAATACCCTGGCTGGGCCGTATATTTTAAAACCAAATATTTTTAAACGCCATTAAAAATATAATATTTTTAAACGCCATT